CATGTCTTCTATTTCAGAAATCAAATTTTCCTGGCTGGCTTTTATATCCTGCATCCAATTTACTAAGCTGTCCCTTTTTCTGTGTCTCAATCCTCTGGTTAGAGATGTCATATGGACTATAAAGCTGATCCCTAACACAGCATATAGGTACATCACTGGCAATTAATTCATAAGCCTCCTCTAACATTGAAATCATATAAGTAGCAAGAATATTCCCAATTTTCTGCATGCTCAGATATTCTGCCATTCTGCAAGTTTACCTGTACCACAGTTGCCATCCAGCTTCAGTAACTGTTTGACCAGCAGGTGGTTCAGGTGTCCTGTTGTGATGGCGGTGGAGGCAGAGTGTAGCTGGAGGTGCGCAGGAGCTGGGCGCCGCAGGGCCCAGCGTTCAGCTGTGGGAACTGGAGGTGAAGTCTGTCTCAAAACTACCTGAAAAATATCTAAAAGCTTTATGAACCAAGTCAGAACTAGTTTGATAAACAGATTGTTTATTAAGAGAATACTCAAGCAACAGAGCAAGTCCTGTACCAGGCAGGAGGGAACCAAGAGAGAGTCACATGCGTGGGACTCTCATATTTAAAGCCTTGTTGCATCACTCTGACCATGCCCAAGTGTGCTTGGTCAGGGTCACCTGTGCCAGTCCCCAAGTGGGAGTGGCCAGCATTTCCCCCTACAATCTATGGTCTTTGAACTCTTATATTTTTTCCTATAGTCTTCTGAGGGCTTCAGTTTTAGGTATGACCACAATGCCAGGACAAAATGACCTTTTCTTTTCATATTAATTGTTTGATTTAATTTTTATTTTATGTTTATGGGGATATATAAACTTGAAAGTATATTTGTATATCACACACATATCTAGCACTCATGGAGGCCAGAAGAGGGTGTGGGGTTTGCTTGAACTTCAGTTCCAGACAATCCTGAGACCCTGTGTGGGTGCTGAGAATGGAACCTGTGTCTTCAGCAGAGCAGCCAGTGTTCTTAACTGATGAGTCTCTCCTGGCCAGAAATTAATTTTTCATGTTTTAAATGATTTATTACAAAACATCGGGAGGGTACATATGCCTGTGAATGAGGGTTCCTGTGCAGGGCAGAAGAGGGCCTCAGATCCCCAGGGGCTGGAACTGCAGGTATCTGTGAGCCAACTGATGACAGTGCTGGGGTCTGAACTCAAGTCCTGGAAAACAGTGTGTGCCCTTAACTGCTAAGCCACCTCTTAGACCCTAACACTAATTTGTATTACATTCATTTCTTTCTTTATTTATTTATTTAGTATTTATATATATTGTGTGTGTGTCTGTGTGTGTGTGTGTGTGTGTGTGTGTGTGTGTGTGTGTGTGTGTGTGTGTGTGTTCACACCCATGCTGTGTGCTGCCCTTCCCTGTTTGTTTGTTCTGGAAAGTGTTGCCTCTGTGTTATGAAGGAACAGGATGTAGACTTCATTTGAGGTGTGCGATGGTTTCAACAACCAACCACAGGGAGGGAAATGCCACCTGCCCCCATGCCTGTCAACAGAACCAGTCTCTTCTTAGTCAGTTTGTTTAGAGCAGGGACTCACTATGTAGCTCGGCTGGCCTGAACTCACAGAGATTTTCCTCCTTCTGATGCCAAGTGCTGGGATTAAAGTTCTGTGTTACCATGAGTGGTCAGTGCAGCATTTTACACAAATTTTTGATGTATATATACCATTTTATTCTTCCTTGTAAAGCATGGTGGCACATGCCTGTAATTCTAGCATTCAGAGATAGAGACAGGAAGACTGCCACAAGTTCTAGGCCAGTTTGGTTTACATAGATATTTCCATTCCAACCAAGACTATATGATAAGAATCTATGATAAAAATTAAGTGCTGTGGAAGGGATGGGATGCTTGAGAGATGTCTCAGCAATTAAGAGTACTAGCTGTTCTTCAAAAAAAAATCTGGTTCAACATGGTGGATCAGAACTGCATTTGTGGATCAGAAAGTTCCAAGGGATCTGACACACTCCTAGGGCTTCCATGGGCATCAGGCTTCCATATGGTACACAAATATACATTCAGTCAGAACACCAATGCACAGTGAGTAAATAGTAAGTATGCAAATAAGAGAATAAATAAATAAATAAATAAATCCAAGGACTGAGATATCTCAGTCAATAATGTGCTTGCCTAGTAAGTGCCAGGGCCTGGGTTTAATTCCAGGAACCCAGGTGAAAATTCCAGTCATGGAGGTGAGTGTTATCCTAGCACTACGCAGGCAGAGACAAGAAGATCCCCGGGCATTACTGGCCAGCAAGATTAAGGCTACATAGCAAGTTTGAGGCCAGTGAGAGACCCCATCTCAAAGTATATGGATCCTGAGGACATCCTGGGCCTCCACATGCACAGACAGACAGACAGACAGACAGACAGACACACACACACACACACACACACACACACACACACACACAGAGCGTGAGCCTTGCTATGTATCCTTGCTTTAAAAATATAAATCATACAGAAATGTGCAAAGTAAAAAATGAGCAGGGTATAGTGCCCCAGGTCTATAATCCCAGTACTTTGAGGCAGAAGCATGAGGAGCAAGAGTTCAAGGTCATCCACAGCTACACAGAGAGTTCCAGGACAACCTGGGCTGCATGAGAGAGAACCATCAGGTTTCTTTCTCAATCCCTCTCACCTTATTTTTGGGAGAGTTTCCCATTATCCCTGGAACTTGGTGATGTGGTCAGACTGTCTGGTCAGCAAGCCCCAGGGACCCCCTTGTCCTCACTCTCAGCACAGAGATCACAGGTGCTCACCCCTACACCTGTGGATGTGGGATCCGACTCAGGTTCTTACACTTCTGCAGCAAGCCCTTCACTCCTGAGTGTCTCCCTAGACCCAAGCCTATTTTCATTTTCATCACTTTAAAAAACGATTCATTTATTTAATTCTATGATATGTGTGTTGCCTGTGTGGATGTATGTGCACCATGTGCGTGCAGGGAGCCAGATTAGAGCATTGGATCCCCTGGAACTGAAGTTACAGATGGCTGTGGGTTCAGAGGCCAATCCCAGGTGTCCTGAGAAACCAGTGAGTGTGCTTAACCAATTAACCATCCCTTAACCCTGTGTTTTTATTATATTTTATTTTTTATTTTGTGTATGTATGTGCATGTGTGGGGGCATGTATGTATGTATGTGCTCCTCAGAGCACAGCTTTAAGGAGACTGTTCTCTCCTCCCAATACCTGGGTAGCAGGGATGGAACTCAGGTAGTCAGGATTCATATCAGCCCTTTACTCCCTGACCATTGTGCTGACCTAGTGACTTCTTTCTTCCTTCCTTCCTTCTTTCTTTCTTTCTTCCTATTTCTTTCTTTTTTCTTCCTTTTTTGTTTGTTTTGTTTTGATTTGATTTTCCAGACACGGTTTCTTTGTGTAGCCCTGGCTGCCACGGAACTTGCTCTATAGACCAGGCTGGCATCGAACTCAAGAGATCTGCCAGCCTCTTCTCGAGTGCTGAGATTAAAGGCATGTACCACCAATGGCCTGCATTTTTTTACCTTTTATTTTCAGTTTTCCTTTTTCTTAAGACAGGTTTATCTGTTTGGCCCTGGCCATCCTGAGACTTGTGATGTAGAACAAACTGGCTTTGAACTCACAGGAATATCCCTGCCTCTGCCTCCTGAGTGCTGGGATTAAAGGTGTGTACCACCCTGACATACATTCACCAATTCTTTCTTTATAAAGCCAGTGTCTTAGAATCCTACAATATAGTGCACACATCCTACTTAACAGAATAGTCTTCAAAAAACAATTGAGCAGGTAACTGAGGATGAATCTAGAATGAAAGGGAGATTCTTTCCTCAGAATACACAGTACATTAAATATGGGAAACTTTTGAGTGACAAGGGTCTCTACCTATAAACCAGACTGCAGCTTGGATAAGAAGAAGCCACGTTCCCACATCTCTCTGCTCCACTCAAGACACGCCCTCCATGACAGTCTGCATCCTTGACTGGATCTCTAATAAGACACCTTCCTCCTGCTCTCACTAGCTAAAGCTTCCTCCTCTGTAATTTCACATTTACCTATTGGAATCCTAGCTTTCCTTCAAGATCCAGAACAAACACCACCCTACCATGACCAGCCCTGGATGAAAACCAAGTCTCCTTCCCCAGTCACAACACAAGGCAGAGTCCTGTCTTCCTTCCACACAGCCTCTTCTTCCATGAAGCACAGAGCTGAAGAGCTGCTGCCTCTGTGGACCTCACTTAATTTCTCACATGGTCACACTTGTTTTAATAAAATCTGCTTAGTAATTAAGACAGCAGCAGCCAAGCCCAAAGTCCTGAATTCAATCCCTGAAACTGAATTTTGAAAAGACAGGAGGAATGAGAAGTTAGGGTGTTTGTTAGAGGATGGGGGTCCCTATCTCTAACAGAGATATTGATCCTCTGCTGGAGAGAAGGGTTGAGCACAGAGAAGATGAGGGAGTCCCAAAGACTCATCCAGACAGAAGACACTCATCACCTCACAGGTCAGAGGATGGCCTTGGGCTGGATGTCTGACTGCAAGGGGAGAATGACCTTCTCTATTTCTGGGGCCAATTCAAGGAAGACACTGGGGAGAGGACAAAGGTTCCGAAGAGGGAGGGAGAGACAAGAGGAAAGCCTGGTGGATTAACTTGGGGGCAGTTGGACAAACAACCCCAAGTGTTTGGAGTTACCCATGCCAGGACCCAGCAGTTTGGATGAACAAGTCCTGCCCAAGGCAATCAAAATCCTCAATCCAGAGGCCTGGCAGAGGAAGGGTGAGTGGGAGAAAGTAGGGGAGGTTCAGAGACAGGGAACTAACTCAGTGACACCTCAGGATCCAAGGGTCAGCCCTGGGTGCCCTGCTGCTGCACATGCTCCCTGGGTTACAAGAGGGTCTCATGCTCTAAGCACCTGTTTCAGGATTGAGAACCATGTTAGGAAAAAATGTGGAAAAAAAAAAAAGGTCAGGAGACTGGACTCAAATGCAGGGGCGTTTATTTCAGAGAACCTGAGAAGAGCACACACTAAGCAAGCATGCTTCTCTTACAGACTAGGAACCTTTTACCAAGCTAGGAGGAGGAGGAGAGAAAGGTAGGCTGTGTGTTTAAGCAAGTGACTAGTTCTTCTTTGCAGACAGGGTGGGCCTTTTGCAGTTGGGTTGTCTCAGGAGTCAGAATGGGATGCAGAGCACAGCCATGTTCACCATGCTCTACACATGCCATGGGCTTGTCTTGGGACCAATCACTGTCAGTTGAAAAAGCTGTAAATTCGTTTCATCACCCTGCAAGAGCAGTTAAGGGTTATTAGATACTGAGCCATCTCTCTAGCCCACATTCCTGACTCCCAAACCCCACTTATTTATTTTTTTTCAAAAGAGGATCTCACCATTATCTCTAGCTGTCCAGAAACTCACTGAGTAGACCAAACTGTCCTCAAACTCAGATGTTAGCCCGCCTCTGCCTCCCAAACCCTGGTGTCAAAGTCTTTGTCACTACACTCAGGTAGCTTCTCAAGCCACTTTTGAAACCATTTTGATCAAACTCTTCCATCAGGTTTCCAGGAAATAGTACATTTCTAAACCCAAGTTGGGGTCCTTGTGTTGTTTTGTTTGAGCCACTCTTTTATGTGTCACAGGCTAGCCTCAAATTCACTATGTAGCCAATGCTGGTCTTGAACTTCAGATCTTACTGCCTCCATAACCTCAGGGCTGGGATTAAAGACACATGCTGTCACACCAAGTTTAATGCTTCATCTCTTTAATTGACTAGTATTTATGGGTCACCGTATAGGACTTTGCTTTAAACTAGTCTGACCCCAGAAGAGTACATGGAGATATGAGATAAGATTAAGTGTGAATGTGGGTGTCACAGCCCATGTGAGGAGGGCAAAAACAACTTTGTGGAGCTAGTCTCTACTTCCACTAGGGATTTGACAATCTAAGTCAGCTGGCCCTGCTTGCCTGGAACCACTTTTAATCCACTGAGCCATCTTACCAGACCAAAACTAATAAATGTTATCAACAGATGAGAGGAAGTATGGAGTATTGACTCTGTTACTCTCTGCTTTTGTATATATTTATCATTTTCCCACAAAAAGTTAAAGTAAACAAGATTAATATATATACAGAAGACTTCTGAATGCGTCCAGCCCTGTCACCATCTTGAACTTCAGACAAGAATTTTCAGTGGCCTGAAATACAACTTTCAAACTGAGCTTACAAATTAAGTCTACATCCTGTCTTTCCACACCATAGTCAAACTGCTTTCCTAAAGACACATGAATGTCCTTCCTCTGTTCCTCCCCAGTGGCTCCCTGTGTCTGTAAATGACAATACTATTCAGTCAGTTGCTCAAACTGATAACTTGGAGAGATCTTCGACTCCTCTCTGTAGAGATGGTACAGCAGCTAAAGCCTGCCAAGCCTGATGACCTGAGTTCTGTACCTGAGAACCGTATGGAAGAAAGACAGAATTGACACCCTTAAAAAGCCCTCTACCTTCACAAGCACACCAGGGCACACGTGTGACAACACCCGATATATAAATAAATGTAATTAAAATAATATAAATGGCTAAAGAGATAGCTTAGCTGTGCCCTGCTCTTCCAGAGGACACAGTTAGGATCCCAACACCCACATCAGTTGCTTCACAGATGCCTGTACTCCAGCTTCAGGGGATCTGATGCCCTCTTCTGGCCTCTTCTGCCTCTGCAGACACATGCACACATACACTCTCCAACTACTACCTGCCACAAGGTTGGAACCTTCTCACCTCCATGAAATCCTGTCAGTAAGTTTGGAGAGACAGAGGTGGCCACCTAATGATTCTCCTGTGTCAAAGAGCTTTGCAATCCCAAGACATTTCCTGCTTCCTCATTAGTGGAAGCTGGTTTATTATATGATGCAGGAATCTGTTTGACAAGGGCAGTTGACTTCAAATACAATCAAACTGCCAAGTTTTTTCTTTAAGTGAGTGGGTGCTGGGTGTGATGGCACATGCTTATAGTTCCAGAACTCAGGCTGAGGCAGGAGTGTTGCTACAGTTTGAAGGCAGCCTGAGATACAAAGCAAGGCTTTATCTCACAGGAAAACAGAAATTCAAAGAATCAGGTGGATACAGGTTAGAAAAGAGAACAATGAGGCTAAAGAAGTGAAAGTGGGGACCTGGAGAGAAGAAATTGAGAGCTGAGGTTCATAAATTAGTTATGTTCCAGAAGTCTTCAGTTCAATTCCCAACACTAACTTGGCAGCTCACAACTGTAACTCCACTTCCAGAGAATTAGGCATTCTCTTAGACATACATGCAGAAAAAAGTCATGCACATAACATAATAAAAACAACTCTTTTAAAAAAAAAGGAGAACTTACCCTTTAAGTTTTCTTGCAGGAATTGAGATTATATCTTTCATGGTAGGTATTTGGCATTTTTCAGCCAACTCCTTCCTGGAGAAATCAAAGTTAGCTGTCAGCTCTGAATGTCTTATTGGAATGTATCAACAGTCACGGCATGGATTGAGCTATTTAATACACCATGGGTCCCCAAACCACAGAGTTACAGGATCTTCCTCCTCTAAGGAAGGACACAAATAGAAATCTTTCATAGAATATAAATCATGAGAGACTGTGGAGATAGCTCAGTCAGTGAAATGCTTGTCATGTCAGTGTGATCAACTGAGCCTGGATTACATGTTCCACCCTTAGAAAATAAACAAGAAAAAAAACGCAAAATGTCCAGGCACAGCAGTAATCTGATAATATCAGCTCTGAGGATGAGGAGACAGGAGGGTCTCTGGGGCTTCCCAATCAATCAGTCTAACTCAGTAGTAAGCTACAAGTCCATGTAGAGACTATTCTTATCATCATCATCATCATCATCAACATCATCATCATCATCATGTTATCCAACAAGCACACACTAAGTAAGTGAACATAATTCAAAAATTTTTAAAGTAAAGTAGAGGGCTGGAGAGATGGCTCAGTGGTTAAGAGTGTTTGCTGCTCTTGCAGAGGATCACATTAGGTTCCTAGCAACCAATCACCTATAACTCCGGCTTGAGATGATCTGATGCCCTCCTCTGGCTTCTGTGGCATTGCACACACATGTGCACATGCCCACGCCCACCCCACCCCCACTGCCACATGCACACATGATTGATATAAAATAAAATTTTTAAATTTTCTAAAATGGAAAGGTAGAGGAAGATACCCAACATAGAACTCTGACTTCCTCACTCATGTTGACATGTGTTACACACACAGAGGAACACTTTACACACAGAGAGAAAGAGAGAACAAATTAAGTCCACAAAGCTTCTCATGGGACATTTTAAGAATACTTTCTTTTCATCTCTGTGAGTTCGAGGCCAGCCTGGCCTCCAGCGTGAGTGCCAGGGTAGGCTCCAAAGCTACACAGAGAAACCCTGCCTCAAAAAAAAAATGAAATAAAAAAGAATACTTTCTTTTCATTGTTATGGGAGGATCCAAATCAATACAGTCAATTTATTGGACTAGAAGAAACATGTAGGTGCTACCATGGAATAGAAGGATACTTACATGATCTGGAGTCTCCTGGTGAATGTAACAGCGATGTAACCTTCATGCAGTTTAGGATCCTCAGCAAGAATCTGACACACTTCAGAACTGGCATTCAAGACCTTGTTCTCCATATCCTAAAACAGGTACAGTGAGAAATCAAGGCTGGGACTGTTGGTTACTGACATCTTCTCTAATAGATCTAATGGGGCAAAGATGTCAGTTGTGGAGGGGACAATTTCAATGAAAATGCACCCCCTAAGGCTCAGATATTTAAACACCTGGTCCCCAGTTGATGTGTTGCTCAGGAATGAAATGGGGAAATGCAGCCTTGCAGGAAGAAAGACATAACTGGAGTGGCTTTAAGGGCTCATAGCCTTGCCTCACATCCAAGTCGCTCTCCCTACTTTACGGTTGCCATGGAAGCTGTGCTCTCTCACCTTCCTTCTCCTGCTGCCATGTCTTTCTGCCATTATGAGCTTTTATCCCTTAGGAACCTTAAACCCATATATACTCTACATAAGTTGCTTTTCATCTTGGTGTTTTTTATCACAGCAACAGAAAAATGACTTACACAGGGTGAGACCCTCCTATCTCCATTAGAGTTCATGAGCATGATGGCATATGACTGTAATCCCAACCCTCAGGGGGCTGGTGCAAGAAGATCAAGTTCCAAGCCAGCCTGGGCTATATAGGGATGGAAAATCTTCCATCCCAAAATCAAACCAAACCATTGGGTATAAGTTTTGCAAGGCAAGTGTTCAGATAGCACTGACTATCAAGCCCCGCAGCAAACATTTAGCTGGCATCTTACCTGCATCATGTCCTTCCCAATCTCTAGAGGTACAATGTAAGTTCCAGGGAATGTCTTTTGAAGAAAATTTACGAAGTAATCTACGTTAATCAAGTCTCCTAACCAAACAAAAACAATGATGGAAATTCATGAATAAAACATCACTTTTAAAAGACTTATTTTTTATTTTGTGTGTATGTATGTTTTTTCCTATATGTATGTCTTGTACCCTTGTGTATAGTAACCACAGAGACCAGAAGAGGACCTCAAGTCCTCTGGAACTGGAGTTACAAACACTTGTAAGCTGCCATGTGGGTGCTGGGAACTAAACCCAGGTCCTCCAGTGCTCTTAACCACTGAGCCATCGACCCAACCCTGCCAAACAGAAAATTCTTAAATCCAACATCGAAACGCAATATAATACAAAGAGACATTAATTTGGTATTTAGATGCTGAAGAATATTTTAAAAGTCCTTCATTCTGGTAAATAAACCACTGTTTCTATAAGGGCATAAACATTGTATGCACAATGAAAGATCTGGAGGTCATAACATACAGCAGCCTGAAGTCTGAGCAGAGTGTTTGAGGCAGTATTTGTTGGCACTCATGGCAGCACAGCAGGTACAGTGCAAAATGCGTGTGTTTGGTGTTGAGAACAAAGGCTCCAGTGGAGTGGGAGATGCCAACCCTGACAGAACAACTCAGTTCACTTCACCCTCGATTTTGAATTAATTTTTGCTCATTGTGCATTCAGATTGCTGTTGCCATATCATTCTCAACCCCACAGTTAGTTACAACATCCCCATGGGGGTCTTGACCCATAGTAAAAGAAACTGGAAACTAGTGGATGAGGTCAGCTTCCAGATAGAAGAGAATATTTGTGAGACATGTATCTGAGTTCAATGTCCAAAAGACATAAAGAATTCTTACATCTTAGTGAGACAAGTAGTACAATTAAGATATAATATGTGACCGGGAAGTGGAGGCACACGCCTTTAATCCCAGCACTCGGGAGGCAGAGGCAGGGAGATCTCTGTGAGTTCGAGGACAGCCTGGTCTACAAGTACTAGTTCCAGGACAGCCTCCAAAGCTACAGAGAAACCTTGTCTCGAAAAAATCAAAAAAAAAAAAAAGGAAAAAGAAACTAAATTATATGTGAGGCCTGGTGTAGTGGCACACGCCTTTAATTCTAGCACTGGGGAGGCAGAAGCAGGTGGATCTCTTGAATTCAAGGCCAGCTTGGTCTACAGAGTGAGTTCCAGGAAAGCAGGGGCTGCATACAGAAACCCTGTCTGGAAAAACAAACACACACACACACACACACACCAAAAAAGAAAGAAAAAATTGTGTCGGGAGATGGGGTAGACTGAAGAGATGGCTGAGTGGATAAGCTGTGTTCTACTTTTGCAGAGGACTCAAGTCCCAGCACTAAGGTTGGTGACTCAAAACCCCTGTAACTGAAACTATGGGTTCAACTACTTCTTCTGAGTTCTGTGGGTTCCTTCACATAAGACATTCACACAATTACATATACATAAATATATTTTTAAAGAATTTTTTAAGTTTTATTTTGTGTCTGTGAGTGTTTTGCCTCCATGGATGTGTGTGCACTGCCTGTGGGCCTGGTGCCTAAAGAGTCAAAAAGAGGGCACTGTTTCCTCTGGAGCTGGAGGCAAAAGCAATTCTAAGCTACCATGTGGGTGCTGGGAACCCCATCTGAGTCTTCTGCAAGAGCATGTGATACTCTTAACTACTCAGCCATGTTTTCAGCCCTAACTTAAAAAAATTAAAAATTCTAATAAAAAATTAAAAATTAATCTTGCATGGTGGTGGTTGTCTTCCCTCCAACATTCTGGAGGCAGAGGCCAGGAAGTCTCTTGGAGTTGAAGGCCAGCCTGATCTTCACATCAAGTTCCATGCCTATAATTAGACCCTCTTTCAAAATAAACTAATAGAGTTGGAGAAATGACTGAGCAATTAAGAGCACTGACTGCTTCTCCCAGCACCCATGTGGTAGCCTACAACTGTCCGTAATCATATAAGGGGATCAGATACATTGTTCCGGACTCTGTAGGTACTGCCTACACATGGTGCACAGACAAATATACAAGCAAAACATTCTTACACATAAAATAAAATAATCAGTAAATCTCAAAAACGTCAAAATAAATAAAATCATAAAAAAGGAAATGGAAAGATTTGTCTCCCAGAAGAGAGGAAGTGGCCAAGAGGAGCAGCAGTCTTTAATGAAATGTGAGATAAAACAACAATATTCTAATTCCTACCCAGACAGACTTTGAGGGCTTGGAGAAATAAGAACAACTGAGTCCTATTGGTGGAAATGTAACAATGCAAACCTGGTGGGAAAGTGTGGCAGTGCCTAAAAAGTAACTAAGCAATTACTCCTACCTTTATACCCAAGAGAAATGAAAGCACATATCAAGATAAAACCTCACACAAATTTTTACAATAGTGCTGTGGTAATAGCAAAAGGAAAAAACAAGGGAGATGTTCATTGCTGGATGAATAAACTGTGGTGTAGTCACACAATGGAATACTATTCACCCAGGAGTAGGAATGAAGAACTGAAGTGTGCTACAAGCAAGCACGTTCCGTAAAATTATCCACACAAAAGACAAATTATCTGATCCCTTCACCTGTTATGTGCAGAATGAGAAACTACACAGCATAGAGAATAGGCAGGAGGTGATCAGGAGTGAGAGGAGGGGAAGGAGACATTGACTTAACCCATATGGAGGTTTTCCTGGGTGCTGAAAGCTCTGAAACTAGAGGGCAGTTGTGGTGCCTCAGCTGGGGAACAGGCTCAATGACAATGAATTGTGCACTGAAAATGGTGGAGCTGATGTCACATGGATTTCCCCGCAGTAGAAACAGATAAAAGACACTTCCTGCATAGCTCTGTCTGTCAGCTGCTAACAGGCTGCAGAGGCCATGTGGGACTGGAGAAGTAGCCCCTCTGATAGAGTGTTTGCCCAGCATGCACCAGGCCCGGGGCAGGAGCCCATGACTGTACAAACTGGACAAGGGGAACACACTTGTGGTCCCTGAACTTGGATGGCAGAGGGAGGAGGATTAGAAGATCAAGGTTATTCTCGGCTACTTAGCACATTAATAAAAACAACAAAGGGGAGTCAGGTGTGGTGACACAAACTGTAATCGCATCACTCAGAAGACTGAAGCAGGAGAATTGCCAGGGCCAGGATGAGGGACATGAAGTGCCTGAGGCTCACACAAGCAAAGGCTACAATTGTGATAATAGGCTGTGGAAGATGGAAATTTCGAGTATGCACTGTATGTGGCATAAAATTGTGAGTCAGTGGAATTGAGGATTGTGAGCATTTGAGTGTTATGTGAGGTCTCGGGGAAAACTTGACGTGTGTGAGGCTGGAACATCACTGAAATAAGTTCAAAGAGAAGCAATGCGTGGCTCTTGGGGTATGTGAATACAATACAATGTATGACTCTTGGGAGATTGGGTGCATGTGTGAAAAACTGAAATGTCTGTGTACTCTGCTCCTCAACCAACAAATCGCAGTTGTGGCCTGACAGAGTGGCCTGGAGTGCTGTACAATTAGAGCTTAGAGAGCCTGCACCCCAAATGGACAGAGGATGAAATAGGAGTGTCTGCGTGACAAATAGTGAGCTGTCCCCTTGTCTGCTCAAACATCTACACAGAGGGCAAAATAAAGTGAGGACAGGTAACTTGCTAACTGTGGTGAAAGTGCCCACTCCTGGTAGTGTGCATTTCTCCTCATTAAGAATCAGCCTGCCAAAAAATGTAAATAAATAAATATTTAAATATTAAAAAAAAATTATCAGTCTGACATCAGTACTTTGATGACACATGCTTTTAATCCCAGCACTCAGGAGTCAGAGGCAGGTGGATCTCTGTGAGTTCAAGGCCAGCCTGGTTTACAGAGTGAGTTCCAGGACAGCCAGAGCTTCATAGAGGAACTCTGCCTCAAAACAAAGATCCAGCCTGCTGTGTTTCTGTCCACACTGTCTATTCCACTTTAACTCTAATGTCAGTCCTGCTCTGGTGAATTCTTTACCCCTGCACCACAAGCATTCCAGGACAGCACAGCTTTGCTCAGTGACATCCCGGGTGCTGGACACAGCAGCATCTATCTCACGTCCTATGTGAGCCTGGCTCTAGACCTGGGGCTGAAGCAGCCCATGCAAGAGCCGTCCCTGTTCACTGACTGAATTCCTCTCTGTGGTTTTCTTTTTTTCTGTGGTTTTCTTTAACCCAGTCCAAAAAGATCAGCCTCTAACTGCTTCTGTCAAGATGGACACAGGCCTTCATGTGGCTAAGTTCAATTATCAGTTCCCAGGCTGCTCCCGATGGACCTGTCTATCTTGTGGTTCATTGACCTACTGTCTTTCTTTGTGTTGGTGACGGTGATGAGGTTTTTGCTGTTGTTTTTGTTTGTTAGTTTTTGAGATAGGATATCATTCCAGAAGGTGCAGGAACTCACTAGAATCTCTGGATAATCCATCCTGGCCTTCAACTTGCAGCCATCTTCCTTCCTAGGTCTCCCCAGCCCTGGCCTGCAGGTATCAGCCATCACTTGTTTCCTTCTTCAGGGAACATTTTCTTCACTGGCTTCCAGGACACTGAGCTCTCCTGACCTCCTTCCACCCCTCATAATGTTCCCTCATGTCTCTCTCCTGGGCTGTTTCCTCATTGTCAACTCCACCTCCAGA